CCATTTTCTCGGAGCAAGGCTAAATGCAGCTCCCTTTGAATTTAAAACCTTGCTAAATTATTTAGTACTACATACCACAGACTGATTAAATTTTGCACAGAGTGGTGAGATTGTTTCCCAGGTAGGTCATCATTCAGTGCAGTTTACCACTTAAAATTTCTTTCATTCTCAGTCAAAATACAGCAAGGGCCATCCATCATTATCACCTTGTCCTTTAATTTTTCTGTCAGCCTTTGTCAAGCTTGAAACAAAAGCCTTTACATTTTTATCAACTGCAGCTATTGTTGTCTGAATTGTGCTCAATCATTTCAGAATATCGGTTTTGTTTTTACCAAACAAGTCAAATATTTTCAATAGGTCAGATCTATCTTTCACATAAGCCTGCTAAACCAAACAGAACCATTTCTCATTTCTTTGGAAATGGAGAGTAAAAATGCTTAGGGCCAAATCGGCAGCGAGAGTAAATTGTCCAGGCTCCCTGCACTTAAATGGATGAATGTCTTCTGCCTTAGTAAGAAGAATGTGGCATCAATTCAAGAAAGAAGGAAAGGCAAAGAGGAAATTTTAATCAGGCAGGGCTTGACAGTGTTTTGAGTCGACCTTGTACAACACTGTTCTGCCACTCATAAACAGACTACATCTGTGCCTCTGCTGAAGAGCAGCCTCCAGACCAAGCCAAGCGTTGCATGTTCCTTCTTCTTTGACTGTCCACTCACAATCAGCCATCAGATTACCTGCTCTCTGCCTTCACCTTACCAGTGCTCGTTTAGCTTGATGGCAGGCTAACAGACAGTAGTGACCATGAAGAAAGCCTTTCTAAAACCTTCCCCATACTTTTCTCTGCATCCACTGAACTGTGACATTAGTTCAGGTCCTCATTGAAAAGATACTTCTTGGCTGAGCATTTATGGCCCAGCTCAATCCCCGCCCCGTGCTGCTAGAGAGCGATTAAGAGCCCCTCTCTTTCACTGAAAATCCAATTCTGGTTCTACCTGTATAACCTGTGGGAACATACATGAAAAACAGTTGGGACTCTTTTTTCTGAGTCAGTAACTCCCCTTGGTATGAAGTCTAAGCCCTTTTCTATTTCCAACAACTTTTATGGAAACAATGAGTCCTCTGTGAATTGCTTGTGTTTCAGAGGTCGCAGGGTGATGAAATGAATACCGGTTTAAATACATTACTGAATTTTTGGCTGAATATGTGTCTGTCAACAAAGATTCATTTTAGGAGTGAGGTTTCAAAATTAATGGTGACAATTATTGCTTGACTTCTAGATCTCTGAACATGGTTTTTCTATCTTCTTTGGTTCTCCATCTGCAAAATATAGCTATTTTCTGCTTCACAGGAGGCTAAGGATTCATACCTTAGTATTATTGAAATAACAGTCTGGTGCATTGATTTGGGTATGGCTACTTGAATTAAAAAGTTCCACTCTACAAGGTCTCTTGGTCATAATGATCCTCAGTATTTAGTGGTGTGAGAGTCATAAACAAAAATTTGTTTTCAGGTGAACATTGTGTACAACTAGATTCAGAAATTGTAAAGTCAGAAAATGGAATTAAGTTTCACTCCAGCACAGGTTTCTTGGGCAGAAATTCTGCAAATCCATTCTGTTAAAATCCTTCTTGACAGAAAGCTCAAGAGGACAAATCTACATAGTCCCTTTGATAGCATGTTTCTGAGCAGTTGCCAACAGGGAGCTCTGGATAACATAGTATGTGCCTGGCCCGTAGTACAAGATAGGTGTGCCCTGCAGTAAATCAATGGCCAAAAAGTCCTGCAGGACTAGAAACAGGTCAAACTGTAATTCCCTTTTCTGGCATGCGCAGGAAACAGCACACCCTCTTTACAACACAGGGATTCATATGCCTTAAACAGAAGCCTGTGCTGTTGAGTGTTAGTTTATACTTGTAGTCTCTGATTGAGGTAACTACCAAACCCACTTACCTCCCACACCTACAATACATGGTGAGAGAGTGAGGGGCACTGCACATCTCTTTTTTTCAGAGGTACATATTCTGCATTCCCTTATACAAAAGTTTTTTCAAGGCAAAGACAAAGTTTTCACAAGAATCCATAAGTCTTCTTGGAAGAACTGATAAGGAGCCTTTCTGTCAGACTCCACTGGACTGGGCGGCCCCGTACACGTACGTCTTGAATGTGGGGCTCGGGTGCTTTTCAGAATGCTAATATATGCCCGGATTTGGGCTGTCCAAAATAGGGCTTAAGGTTGGGATATGGTCCAAGAGTTCCAAAATGTGTTGTCTGGAGATCTGTGAGATACTCTGTGACTTACACATACGTTCTTGCTGCACATTCTTTTCTGGGCAGAGCCTCAAACAAAAGCAGGTATGAGCCAAGCATTTCTAGAGCCCAGAGGAGACTTAGATTTCATGACTCGGGCAATGCAGTGCTCTTCAGGCGGCTGATTCCTCGTTGCTATCTTGTACTGTAGTCTTTGAGAGGAAGGAATTGTAATGCTGTGAGCAAAGCAGACCAACTGCAGTCATTTGCATGGTGAATTTCACCTTACTCTGCTAAGAAAGAAACAAAGCCGATGCTATTGCTTGTACTTATGTTTCATTTGAGAACACATGTTTTTCTTTGAGGCTTCTGACAAGCTGCCATTTTGATGTTTGGCATCAGAGTTTGTGACTTTGATCAGGAAGCAAATTTCTGCACAAGTTTTCATTAATCGCGACCTGATCAGAAAAGATGGATCGATCACATCTGTATTAAAACTAGTTAACTAGTCTGTTTCCTGAGTTGCCTTTCTTTTAAAATAAAAAATCTTGTTGGAAATATTTGAATCAGAAGAGAAACCAGAAAGCAATGAACTTCTGAATTCACCAGTGACTCATTTAAGATATTATGTGGTAAAAGAGGTAGACAGTGTGCTTGCAGAATGGAAAGCACTGTCATAAAACCGTAACTGTTTTTGCCAGTTGCAGTTAACTTGCCATTGCATAGTCTTAAGTAAATGGCATATTTAAGAAAGATAATTAATGGAACTGCAAGTCACGCTAATTAGGTTTTACGTACAAGACTGATTTGTAAAGCTTTCCTAATAAACAAGGCTTTGCTCTCCGTATGAAGTAGGTGTTTTTTTTGTGTTTGATTTCATTTTTAGCACATACTTATCAGGGAAGGAGTTTCCCTTTATGAGAGGGAATTCCATCAATCAGTACATGTGACGTATCTTTTTAACATGTTAATTTATTTCTAATGCTTGTTATACTCAGTTCTGTTTAATTATCGTGGTACTCGCACTCCAGGTAATGTTACCATTTTTCCTGATGATTAATGTGGCTACCCTGTGGGGGTTTTTAAAAGCCTGTTTTAATTTTTATGGCTTGGGAATATTTTGTACTGAGAAACAGATTCCATATCAGTGTACAACAGACGAAAGAGGGATCTCATGCCATTTTCTGATGGCTTATAAAGTGGAAAATCCCACAAGTATAGGTTCCAGAGAGAATAGTGCTGGTGTTTATCAAAACCAGAGGAATACAGAAAATTGTAGGTGACTCATAGATGTTAACTGACAAGGAGACTTTTAAAGTGGCAAAATAATCTGTCATCCAGTATGAAAATAAGGTAAGCATGCTAATTTGAAGTCTTAAGAGAGTAATTATGGAATGCTGAAGTCAAGGACCCTGTGTCTGAAATGTGTTCTGTAGGGCCCAGTCCTGTAAAGCTCTGAGCTACTTCAGCTTCCATTGATTTCAGTCAGAATTGATGGCACTCAGAGACCAATTGCATTTCTTTCCGCAGCAAGGGAAGACAGATCATGGGTCAGATTTTTACTCTTTTATTGCATTGAATAGCACCCTTCAGAAATATTTTCACTGAAATCAGTGTGGAATGGGTTACTCACCATGAACTGCTGAGAAACTAGTCCTTTCCTGTTAAACTTGCAGTATAAATAATCTGAAAAATACCAGACGCTTTTTTTTTTTTCCTCACAGAAGTGTTTTTCTCTAGTTCTCTTCAGGGCTTTTGTTTGTTCTTTAAAACCTGCAATCACCTTATAAGCAAAGTGATACTGGTCTTTATTGCTTTTGGCAGTGTAATCAAATTTTTTTCTCTCTGTACATCTGGTTATGTTCTGCTCTGTACTGGAGTGTTTTGCAACAGACATTGTTGTTTCCTCTGCAACAAAGCAGCGGCATGCCTAAGCCTGACATACCTGCGCTTACTTGATCAAAAGCTGAAGGATTTTGTAGGATGCTGTCATCAGGGCTGTGTATTTTTTCTGATTTCTATAAAAAAGTTTTTTAACAGTAATATTATTAGCATTTCTGATTTTTAGTTCTAAGCTGTTTTAGAGAAATACTGATGTGTGTATAGACAATAAATTTTAAATGTTAAGGATGACTGAAAGATGACTGTGCCTGCTAATTAGGGTAACGATTTTGAAATACACTCTGCTCTGGATCTTAGCAGACAACTGTGTCTTAAACAAATGTGTGGGAAGAAGAAAAGCAATCCGGAAAAGCAGCTTTTATAGTTAGTAGCATTTTCTCCCCTTTTTCCTTCCATTGAGTCTGTCTGAAAGTGGGTCTCTGTTTTAACATACAGCCATTTCTCGTTAACATGTGTGTGTTTATTTTAGCATGATGGTGTTGTTTTTTTCATCTCCCACTCTGACACAGCATGTTTCATCCGTACACGGTTTCTACTATATGAGACATTTAAAATGGCTCAGTGAAGAAATGGATTCTTGTCACTTAAACAGTCACTCTCCAGATCTGTGGAAACTTGGTCATTTTAACAGTGTTTTAAATTCCATATGCTAGAAGATTGACTATAAAAATTGAGAGTGATATAATGTCAAGAATTTAAAGGTACTCTGTTGTACCTGTAATAATTTATGTTAATCATGTTTTAATTTAGTCATTTTTTACATACTTGTATTTACAAATTAAACCACTGTTATAGTTCTCCTTTGTTTGCATGATATGATTTTATTTTATATTTTTTTTTCCACTCACCAGATGTTTTCAACACTTTGCTTCCCACTACTGTCATCCCCTCCCTTACCACTGCAACAGTCACAACCACTGTAGCCTTAACAACCAGCACAACCACATCGGCAACAGCCATCAGCACCAGAGGTACAGTATGCTTCTTTGTTACGGCCTGAAAAACACATTATAAATAGGAAATTATAGGTTTGATTTTTAAGAAGGATAGAAATTGCTAAAGAGAGGGTTGAAACACTTTAGTGCAATATATATATTTAATAGAATAATCCGCAGGATGGTACATGGTTAAGAAAAATGTCATATGACCTTGAATGTTTTCATTGCTCTAGCAGTGTGTATGTGAACTTTGACAGGATGCTTAAATTATTTGTGTACATTTGCATTTAATTTTTTTAAGGTTAGTAAATTAACTTTAATGTAAAACGCAAGTGAGCTATTTTTAAATGAACATGACCTTTTAAGACTGGTTATTTTGGGTGCTAATGTTTAAAACAAGATAGGTGTCTTGGCATTGGAATTGCTGTTGATACAATCTTGCTTGATAAAAAAACGGCATCACATTACATCACCCTTGTTAGTCTTTTACAATTTAAGGTACTTTCTACTTAGGGATGTCTTTGTCTTAACAGAACTAGAGTAAATGAGCTTAAATTTCTCTCTCCCTTCCCCGCCCCCCATCCTGTTGGGTTTTTGTTTGTTATAGCTTTTGTAATGTTTCTAGTAACACTTTGCTTTGTTATGAGCAAAATATAAAGCTTAATTTTACTTTTGTATTCAGTAACTGATCAGATAACTGTTCACTTGCAAAGATGTGTATGTAAGCTTTTGCAGATTATAATCTTCTGGGTAGGTAGTAACCTCTCATGGTGAGTGAAATGGCAGTGGTTCCTTTGTGGTCTGTTGAAGGTTTTCATTGTGCAAGGAGAGAGGAAATAACGTTCACTTCTCACACTGCAAATATTCACATGATGACGTATAATTATCCCAGGAAAGTTAAGACACAGTTATGAAATCTTTTCTTTCTGGAAACATTGTTATGAATCAGTTGTAGTGACCTGCCTAACTTGCAAGAATAAGCTGAACTAAATGCAAGTCCATTGTATAAAGATTGTGATGGTATCAGATCACCCAACTTCTTGCTTCATAGTGCATTAATATTTTAATATTGTGTTCTTCATAAAATAAACTGATGTCAAACCTGAAATTACATTTTTAAGCTTTAATATTACTTATAGAGTGAAAAAATACTGTTGTTTTAGTGAAAAATAGAGAGTGTTATAGTAGTCCTTTCCCTCCAGAAAAAAAAAGGATAGACCATGGAAAACAGCCCATTGCTCAACGGTCTGAATAGTTGCAAGAGGAACATCTCTTGAAACGGAACAGAATGACAGGAATTATCATTTCTTAATAAAAGAGTGTTTTGAATCAAGCGGTAGAAGCTTCCCAGTTTTCTGAGGGCTCGCATACTGGAAGAACAGAGTGCTTGGTGTGCCATGTTGGTGTTTGCTGTCCTTAATGGATTGTTTTCTTCTTCTTGTTACGAGGTCATGACTAAACTAGGTCTCTGATGTGATTGTGTATTTAGTGTACCAGGGTTATTAAAGTACTCTGTTAACTCTGAAGTGTGGTTTAGGACCTCATTTTCCTTTACTCTGAAGTGTTAATTTTCAGCATTTGTGTGCCCATCATCAATAGAAAGATCTTGAAAAGGAAAACACTCTTCTAAGCTTCAGCTCTAATACGTATGAGAATGCATGCAGTTTGATGCTACAGTAACAAAGACATACTGCTTTAAGACAAACTAAAAGAAGGAAATCTGAGTGAAAGCGATCAATCACTAAAACACGCGCCCTCACTTTTCCCAGAAAAAGAAGGGAATGCAGCCACATGGCTGAGAAGATGAGACCACTTCAACCTCAAGGAACTGGTAGATGTGGTCTCTTGGGTAGATAATCTGAGACAAAGGAATATGGGTAAACTGTTTCTTGAAAAGCTTGTATTGAAAGGAAAATTACAGTCTACCCCAATGCAGGGAATAGAAAAATGGGACACATGTAACAGACTGATGAAGTTGTCTATCTAAGCATCTAAGGAATCAAAAACCACAAAAGTGTGAAAACAAGGGATTACTATAAACATAAGACATAGAGTATATCAGTGTGGAAAAAACAGGAAAACAGGCATAAAATGGAAAAAACAGGAAAACAGGCATAAAATCAGAAAAAACAAGATGCAGAAGTAATTGCAACTAGCAAGGTATGAGAAATTTAACAAAACAAAAGGGTTTAGAAATACTTTAGATGAAAGACAAAAATTAAGAAATGTAGTGATCCTGTTCATTAATGATTAGAGCAAGGCTGAAGTAATTGATTTTTTTTTCAATCCAGCAATGGATGACAACTGGAGTGCTGTTTCTAATAGGGGTGTCACACTGAAAGATGACCACAAACAGAGACAGATCAAAGAACAATAAGGACAGGAAATTTAAAGAAGTGCTCTGTGAGGAAGCTGAAGGCACCAGCTTGGTTTTGCTTTCAAAAAAGAAAAGTCAATATGACTCTGATGAAATCAGAGTTACCTTCCAAGTTCAGTGGGGAAAATGAATCCACTGAATTAGTGGCAAAGGCATTTAGTGGGGAAGCTTTCTAAATGCACGGGAGGCAGTGATGCAGTGTAGCTATTGAAGTTCTATGACTTCCTTCACCCTTGCTGTCTTTAAAAATACTTGATTCCCATGGTAGAGGGAAATGGACAAGATGCTCTCCTTAGGTCTCTTCCTCCCCTATCTTTCTTGGACCCATAAACAAATAACATTTGCAAACTTACAGTGAATGTTGTGAAGGCAGACTTCTGCTATCCTGAAATACTAGACTGAACCTCATCTAGATTATCAGAGCACCTACACACCAGAGGTACAAGCTGCATAAGAGCCATTTTGGAGAGGATCAGATTGTCAGTAGTATCTGTTTCTGGCTGAGGAAAAAGTACCGTATAAACATATTTTTCCTTTGACACTTTATCAGATCTTGTTTGATCATGCCTTAAGGAAACAGAAGTTTGCCCCAGATCATAGGGTAGTACATACTAACTAATAATATATTTGAGCTGGATTTCCAAAAGCTGACATAATAATCTTGCTGGATGGATTTCACTAATTTTGTTCTAAAATTATGACTTGATACTTATGAATCATCTCAGGTAAATTTTACAAGATATTCCTCTATTCTGCATGACTTTTACATAGTCTACCTTGAGGATATGTTACTTCACATCCAATCACAAGACATGTCTTTACAGAAATGTGATACAGAATATAAAGAGCCCAGAGAGTCTGTAAATTTGTGGCATTTTACGTTATGATGATTGTACCTCATCATTACCAAAAGACTGAATTAATGGGAAAAAAAATTCTCCAAACCATCATCAGTTAATTCTGGAACCGTGTGACCCATCTCTGTCTTAATTTGCATGGCATTTAGTAAACAACGTGAAAAAAAGCTACTGATCCAGTTGGATGACAGCATGATAATTCATAAACATCCTGTTTAGTCAAACTTTTCACTTTTTTAGACAAACGTACACTTGCTTTTGTGCTCAGTCCTTCAGGAATTAATTATTCTTTTACTGGTACATTACCTGCTAACTCAAAGAATTTAAACACAATCTGATGCCAGTGAAGAGTATTGCCCTTTATATATTTGTCAAGGGTATCTTAAAACCTAATAACCATGATGAGGAAATGTACAACAAAATGAGAATAAAATGTATGAGAAGAAACAATTCTAGAGGGCTATGGAAAGATTTATTATACACTGTATGAGTAGCTTCCTATCTATGAGATTTATGTAATGTTATTTGTGAAAGCTGTGCATGGATGCATGCTAGTGTTCCCTTTTGTGACTGGGAAGAGGCATAAGAGTATTGTGAATTTGCCCCCAGTAGTGAAACAAGGGATGCCTGGAGAAATTCTTCGTTAGCATAAAGTTAAGTTAGATGGTTCTGTGCCAACCCTTCAAAGTCCTATAGGTGGAGAGAGAGTGTGGTTAATAGTCTAGAAGAAGTCATCTCAAGTCAGAAACGCTCTGTGTTTCTAGATACACAGAGGAGAAAAGGTTGTGCACACAAATGTACATAAAACCTTCCCACAGGCTGGCATTATGTTAATCATACACCCAACCCCCTGCAATTTTTAAAATTTAAATCCTTTTCCTGTCAAGAAAAAAAAAGTCAAAGAGGTTATAAAACTTGATAATTTTGACTTATTGTTGAAGATTTAAATCTTACCACTACCCCCCAAATAGGTACAAAAGTGAAGTTGCAAAAGCATCCCAAATTCAAGAGAGATCAATTCAATTGCATGTATCAGGGTGATTCAGTCTCAGCTGACTCATTTGTATAATGACTGTGCCAGAATGTTCTAAGCTTTATATAGCAATGCCTAAAAGCATCTCCAAAAGTCATTGCATATAGCAGAGATATGATACTGCTACCAGGCAGCTGCACAATGAAGTTCAAGATTTTATATGATAGTCAGGGTGACCACAAAGCCAATGAATGTACACATTTATATATGAATGAAATCCCTGCTTTTATTATAATCCACTTTGCTTTTATTGTTTTTGCCTCTGGTATAAAAGAAAAAGAAAGATTTCTTAAAGGAGATCTGTGGAGCTAAATTTAGAAGAAGAATTTACAGTGGATTAAGGAAAGGTTTGAGGATATGATCATTTTGAAATCTATTGTGAATTTAATTTAAGTGTGAATATTTCTCCTTAATAGCATAAACTTCAACCATCTTAGCTAAAAATTACATTACTTTCTTTTTCTCTCATTTTTACCTTGGAATCTATGGGCGGGGAGGGGCGGGGGGAGAAAAAGACTAGAATACCTGTTTCATTATAGGCCGTTTAAATGCAGAAACTACTTGGACAGCACTTGTAGTCATCAGGTTTTTTCATATCAAAAAAATGTTAAGCATTACCAGTTCTTTCCTTGTGATTTCATTTTTTTTTCCACTTAAACTGATTAATATAACTTGGCACTTTGTGATATTAACAGATAAAGGAACAACAAAGCAAGGAAAAGACACAGAATACATGAGAGTCGAGAGATAAGGGTAGACTTAAATATAGTTGTGTATGCTTACTTGCATTGAGCTCTGATAATAAATAAAATGATTGTTGTCTAATGTTAAAAGCAGTTTTGTATGACAGCATGCTAAGAGCTAGTTGTTTTATATACTACTTTATAGCTGTAGCAGTAACATAAAATCTAATTTGTGTCTGGTTTTACTCAAACCAGGTAAGAAAATTACAACTTTCTGGGTTTTATTTCTTCTTTCTCATCTTTCCTTCTCTTACAATAATCTCCTACTGGCTTATCTGACTTCTAGATTTCCCAGGAGACCAAACAATTTGAGGTTCAAACCAACAGTTCTTTAGATTATTTTTTTCCCACCAGACATTCAAGTAAGCCTTTAGCTTCTTGCAAGAACTGCCATCTCTTCATTTTCTAATGACTTCTTTTATTACCTTTATTTTTCATTGTGCTTGTTTCCCAGCTGTTTAGAAGGTGTGCTAATAAGTCATGGTAAACCTCAGTCAGATCGTGATGAAATCCCAAACCTTTTTTACAAGCCTCTTTCCC